TTATATAAATGTTTTAAAATATTGAATTTATTTATTTATTTATGTCGATGGTAAAATGTAAGTGTTAAAGATTACAACATCTATTTATAACAAAATAGAAAAATTTATATTATATTTTATAATAAATTTAAGTCTTAAATATACTTGATTATGTAGAGAATTGATACCAGACTTGTAGGCACTTCATTGAATCTTACTGTAGTGTACATGGCAAAAAAGTGAAATTGCATGGGGCCCACACCAACATGGCGCCCCAAACCAATCTTTTATAAGAAACTATTTCCCTCAAAGAAAAAAATCTGAAGTCAACACTATACATGGAACTCCCTAATTCAAATTCGCCTGGGTCTCATGAAGTTATAACGCGCCAAGATAAGCTTTAAATTTAAATTTAAAAATACTATTTAGCATAATAAACTAAGAAATCAATTTTAAAATTGGTGAATGTTCTAAATAACCATTTTAAAACTTCTTGTAAGAAATTCTTGAATATTAAAAACATTTATATTGGATGACACTTCAAAAGTTTACCATGCTCTGGAGTTATGAGAAGAAATTTAAAGGTTTCGACAAGCACGAGAGAAATCATTTCTTCATTCTCTTATAAGCAGACATCATCGATACCCTGAGGAGTATACAGATGTAGTTGATAGGTTTTGACTTAACGTGACCTCAAATCAAGTTTTAGGGTCGTAACACGTTCAAATTTTAAAGTCAACTTCAACAAATAATTTTCCAGATACTCTCCATATATATTAAAGATTGCATGGCGTTAAAAATATCTTCGATGAATAAAATCAATAAAATTGCCATAAAAATTCTAAAATTATTACAATATTGCTTTTTCACCCTTCAAGAAATATTAATATTTGATCCAGTATTATATATAAAATATAGTAAAAAAGAAAGGAATTTATATAAATTTTTCTCGATAAAATTTATATTATTTGATAATTATTTTCATCACGAAAAATGTCTGTGAATTGATAATCAATGTTTTTAATAAATAAATAGCCACATACATTAACATTTTAGTATGCAAATTTCAAGTCGATTCAAAAGAAGATACTGAAATTCAGACAAAAATGTCTTTTATTCTTGGTAAGATCCTAATTTATGTCCCTGATAATGTACAGAATGCTTCAATTTTAAAGAAATTCTAACAAAATTTAAATGTGCAGCGAGTCTCAAAAGTCAGTTAACTGTGTTTGCAATTAACTCATCAATTTATGAGAATGTGCCGAGTAAAAATAGTCTCATTAACGATTTTAATAAATTATTTCAACGAGACAATTTAATCATTATAATTGTTAACTGAATTATGGGCCACCCTGTTTAATATTCAACAACAAAAAAAAAACAGACAGTCCTTGCATAAAGTAAAAATATTATTCTTCAAACTACACCAATTAAATACAGCAATTTAAAATTACAAAAAGAAAAATTCAATTCAATTCTAACATAAAGAAAGATTTTACTTAAATTTATGTATTTAGATAAATTTTTTTTTCTTTAAAAAAGTAATTTATTAATTACACATTTAAAATATGTAAACGATAGCTTTAAAAAAATCAAATTTAATTCGATATTTAAATACTTAAAGAGAGGATTAAGCGTAAAATTCGATTAAAAATGAAAATAGAAAAAAAAAAGAAATTATTATTTAATGTATTGTTTTTAAAATTAATTAATATTTTTTCTATAAAATATTGCTAATAAATCCCTTACCAGATAGAAATAAATAAATAAATATCATAAATGAAATTAGACAAATGAATATTTCTGTAAATGATGTCAAGGTGATAGAAAATAAAACAATAAATTACAACGAAGGACAATCTTTATTAAAAGAAACATTGATCCAAGTTAGCGAAACCATNAGGTAACGGTTACTGGAAAGGAGGAATGTCATTTCCTCAGATATTTTATTTAAATGCACCTCTATCATCGGGATTCTGAAATGATTCAATTTTCGTCTTGCAAATTACATTCATGAAATATTTCGCTTCATTATTACTACTGGAAAACTATCAAAATTTTCTCAAATATATCGATAGATTAAATAATACAATAAAAAAAAATATATATATATATCCTGAATTTTTTTCTCTTCTTCCTCCCAATTTTTCTTACCAGTTATAAAGGATAAATTTTTAATAAGTTGTATTTTTATCTTTTAAGGTTGCTGCTATAATTTTCTTAAAATACAGTCGTTTAATTAAGAAGAGTACCAGGTTCTTCTAACGTTTTGCCATCTCTCGGGAGGTAAAAGAAGAAAAGAAAAAAAAAGGCTCAGGAAATTAAAATGACGATCCGTTTTCTTCTCAAAAAGTCCCTTAAGCCCTTTAACAAACTTTATAATTTCCAAAATAAAAACTTTGTAGAATTTAACATTGGGCCAGATATTAAAAGGTCAAAAAGAAAGAAAAAAAATTCATAGATATTGAAGAATTTAAGCAATAATTTTAACAGAAAATTAGATAAAAATTCCATTTTCAGTGCAACATATTACTTTTCCTTTAATAATATTATGATAATTCATTTTTATTAACTCAATATTTGAAACGCAAAACATTTATTTCGAAACTTTAATACCCCTGCATTCTTCAACTTATGGTAGCAGTTACAATTTTTAGAGGATTTCAAAAAAAAAAGAAGAAGAAGAAATTGTTCTGGCATTTTGCCATTTCTGTTGATCGCTACTAACGAAACGATGTCTGAAACAGTTAAACGGCAATTATTCTTACCAGTTATGATGGAAAGGTTAACGTTTCCATAACTATTTAAGTCACTAAAAAGCATTATTTTACTTGAATGTTCTTTAAAAAAGTAATTATGTTACATTTATATATTAATTAAAGTCTCATTTCAACTTTACTGATTGTGATTACATTTTAAATCGAGTGAAAACATTCCTATTAACCATTAAATTTTTTACTTTTTCATACTACAAACATGCTAGATTTTTAATTATAATGTTTAATTTTATTTAAAATAGCTTGCAATTACTATTTTTTTTTTAATATTAATGTTGAGGTGTAAAATACATTTTTAGATGAAGTATTAATATCGTATGTTTTAATAAATGCAAAGGAAAAAAATAGTTTAAATGATAATAAAACGATTTAAATTGTTAAACATTCGCGAATAAATAAGGGCTTATTTATATTTTAACGTAATCTTTTATTTATTACTAAGCACTTAACATGATCATGAGAATTCATCAGGGGAAAAACTTCTTGTGTTGACTGAATGGAAGAATAGAAGTTAAGACAATGGTCGTGATAAAAAATTAAATAAATAAAAATTTTAGAAAATATTTTAAAATTTATTTAGATTATGAAACAATAAAGTTGAAATATACAAATCTGAGATGTTTAAAATGATCCAAAACAGAAAAAAAAGTCTTCTGTAATGAGTAAAAGTGCATAAAAATGAGAAATAATACTAAAAAATTTTTAGAAATTTAGAAAATTCTAAACAGAAAATTTAAAAATTATTTTTTTAGAATTGCATAAAATATAAAGCAATAAACCAGAAACACGAAAATGTGAGATGTTCAGAATGATTCAAAGCAGAAAAATAAAAAAAATAAAATCCAAAATCCAAAGCAGAAGTCTTCCATAATAATTTAACATGTTTCAGAAGGGAAAAAATGCAAATAAATAAATAAATAAGTGAAGCTTTTAAATAATTACACACGAACAGATGTAACATATAAGCATTCGCATCCAGAAAATGCATATAAAAAAAAATGAAAAATTTGAATATTTAATGATATCTATTTTAATGTTTTGGAATAATTATTAACCCATATTTCTCATTAATTGCTCGATACAAACAATGATAGGGATTACAATTATGTTGACAAATAACTTCCTTTCAAATCACAGTAATCAGTAGAAGCGATTCTTTGATGCATAATCAACATTATTGTTTGAAAATCATTTATAAATCATTTGAATAACAATAGAAATATAATTTAATATTATAAGATTAATTTATACAAGGAAATAAATATAGGCCTAGAAATAATTAATGGAAAGATCTATACATTTCGAATATATTTATGACTCCTAGGAGAATTATAATAATTGTATTTTAAAATTTTCTAACATTTTAAATTAACAAAGTTCATAAACTTAGCCTTTTACTTAAAAATTTATTTAATTGTATTTTTAATTAATTGGCAATTAATTAACAGGCTGATTAGGAAAGTTAGCAATCAAACTAAAATTAATTTTCTCTGCTTAAGAATTTTGACACGAATTTTATTCGATTGCACTCAAAAATGAGTAAGTAACAAACATTAAATTTTCATAAATTTTATAGGAAAATTTTAATGAAAAGAAAAGCAAATAATTAAATTAATTAATTAATAAAAATATCAAAGAAACGTGCATTAAATTATATAAAAGCTATTTTAAATTTTAATAAAAATATATAATGAGAAGAATTTAAAGTTTATTTTATAATTAAACTTAGTGAATAAATAGGCAATCGAGAAATTTTATAGCAATGGGTTCTACTTTTGTGCCAAAGTTTGGATGGGAATAGTTCAATTTCATTTATCATTCTGTCTAGAAGTGGAGAAAATGCTTCAGTATTACAATTCTATCCACTGGGAAAATCCATTGAGTTTATCTCATGATGTGCAATAACAATATTGTTGATCTCTTCTCAAAATTTAAAATTCAATATACGTGTATGCTAAGAACTTGCATGAATTTACTTTGCATTATATTCAGGCACTCAGTATTAATTCAATATATAAAAAGGAAACAATAGAATTAACAATAAAGACTACTTTTTAATGGGATTTTTTTCAATTATAAAATATAATTGAATTTAAATTAATTATAATTCTAAAAATAATAAATATATATATATATATATATATATAGAAAGCTAATTAATTAGAGAAAGTATCGAAGAAACAATGCAAAAAAAATCATTTGTGTGAGTCTAACGAGGAAGTAATTTAAGGAGATTGGACTGACCTTTAGCTAGCATCAACAGTGATCCTATAATACAATGCCAAACCATTGTTTGCACGCCTGGGATCGTTGCAACGCCGTCCCAATTGCAGAAACGACCCGAACAACAGCGCTGAGGAGGAGAGACTGACTTCAGACACGTGGATGAGTAAGAATAGTATATCACGTTTTGCTGGTCAGCACGCCCTAGCGACGGAAAGGCGAACTAAAAGGTAACGGTTACTGGAAAGGAGGAATGTCATTTCCTCAGATATTTTATTTAAATGCACCTCTATCATCGGGATTCTGAAATGATTCAATTTTCGTCTTGCAAATTACATTCATGAAATATTTCGCTTCATTATTACTACTGGAAAACTATCAAAATTTTCTCAAATATATCGATAGATTAAATAATACAATAAAAAAAAATATATATATATATCCTGAATTTTTTTCTCTTCTTCCTCCCAATTTTTCTTACCAGTTATAAAGGATAAATTTTTAATAAGTTGTATTTTTATCTTTTAAGGTTGCTGCTATAATTTTCTTAAAATACAGTCGTTTAATTAAGAAGAGTACCAGGTTCTTCTAACGTTTTGCCATCTCTCGGGAGGTAAAAGAAGAAAAGAAAAAAAAAGGCTCAGGAAATTAAAATGACGATCCGTTTTCTTCTCAAAAAGTCCCTTAAGCCCTTTAACAAACTTTATAATTTCCAAAATAAAAACTTTGTAGAATTTAACATTGGAAAATTATTAAAATTCTTCGATTCAATATTTAAAAAAAGATATTAAAAGGTCAAAAAGAAAGAAAAAAAATTCATAGATATTGAAGAATTTAAGCAATAATTTTAACAGAAAATTAGATAAAAATTCCATTTTCAGTGCAACATATTACTTTTCCTTTAATAATATTATGATAATTCATTTTTATTAACTCAATATTTGAAACGCAAAACATTTATTTCGAAACTTTAATACTCCTGCATTCTTCAACTTATGGTAGCAGTTACAATTTTTAGAGGATTTCAAAAAAANGGATGCAATACTATAACTTAATTATTAATTAATGAACGTGTAATTGATAAAAATCTAGAATAACATAATTTCTAGGAAATTTTAAATGTTTAAGAAATTATAAAATAATTAAAATTTAAATAAGAACATTTAATAAATGTAATATCTTCATTATAGTTCAAGATATTGCCGACGTCCTTTTACAGTAATTCCTTTCTTCTTCTTCAATTTTTACATGTTAAATAGTCAAATATATTAATAATTTATAAATTTTTAATAAACTGATTATTTAAATATTTAATTAAGATTAAAAATACATAAAATTCTATATTAATTTTGATCTAAACTGATAGCTTAACAATATTTTCTCTTACGATATTATACCTCTCTTAATTTCATTTAAGCCTTAAAAATAATGCTTTAATTAACTTTTTAACTTTATTAGTTATTACGTTCTTACTATATATTTACGTTATATAATATAAACTTAATGTTAAAGCTTTAATAATTTACATTAATAATATATTGTAAGGGAAATCAAATATAGTTATTTTCGAGATTTTTTTTTCTCTTTCTTGAAAGAAATCCGTTAGATATGCGAGAATAAAATTTACGTTCTGAAGGAAACAAGTATTGATCCAGACATTGGATACTTGTCTAGATTGAGTTTCGCTAAACCATCCCATGTGACTTGGATAACAGCCTGTTAGGCTCACCTTAAAAGCTTGTATCGTATACCAGAAACATTCTTTATGGTAAGACTTCACATAGGTACAATTTCTTTCACAATATCACATCTCAATTGTAATATGTAAAATATGGATTGAAGTAGAACATTTTCTTCCATTTTATGTACAAATTTAAAGTATATATATACATATATATTCTTTTAATGCATGCCTGGCGATTTAAATTAAATTTGGAGATTAAGAATTTCTGTAAAAAAATTCTCTAAAATATGTATTTTAATCATTTTTGATACATAAGATTATAAAATTTGATAAGATAATCCCTTTTTCTTATCGGTTACAACCAGAAAATGTAAGATTAGATGCTCATTAATTGCAAAAGTGGTCAATATAACAATGTTTTTTTTTCGTTTTATTTTATTTAAAAATTTATCTTAAATACAAGAGAATTATAAAATTATAAATAAAATTGTTTAAATTAATTTTTAAATATTAAACAATATAAAAACAACATCGCAGACTTAAATAAATTACAAACAACAATATCATCTTTACATTAAAAAAAATGTATAAAATCAAATTTTATACCGGATAATTAAATATAATTTTAAAAAATATATATATCAATTTATTACGAATACAGTTAGTAATTTTCATTTAAAAAAAATAAAATAAAACTAAATAAATTTTGTTTAATATACCGGATTATTTTATATTTATAAATTTAAATTGCTAAAAGTATATTCAAATTTTATCAAGAAGCGAGAAAAAAAGGTAGAAAAATCATTTATTCTATCCAAGAATGTCAGATTGAACAGCNTTATCCATTGTCAAAATTGTATCAGCTAAATAACGGGATGGAAATTGATGACGTATGGTACGATGGTGTCGCAAATGTGAAGTTGGGTAGAGTGACACGACAACCTTGGGAGACGTGAGGTTCGTTTTTTATATTTATAAATTTAAATTGCTAAAAGTATATTCAAATTTTATCAAGAAGCGAGAAAAAAAGGTAGAAAAATCATTTATTCTATCCAAGAATGTCAGATTGAACAGCTCTGAAATTATGTTCAATGCTTCCCGCAGCGCTACATTGTGGCAATAGAGGAAATTACTGGACTTTCATGAATCATTCATGACTCGCCTTCCACTGGGGTGCAATCACATGATAGCCTCCGGGGACAAACGTCCGCCAGTTACTCTCGGTTACGTACAATCTACATATTGACTAAGACAGAGGTTGATTTGGACGCTCTGAGACCGAACATCGCTTGCATAATTAGAAGGTCTAATTCACTTGCAATCCCGATATCCAGTTAGAACAACATTGTTCAAAATGTTCAGGAAACTAAGTACTGGTATTAACCGAGTAAATAAAGATCGCTCCTGTTACATAAAGATTTACTAGGGTTTGAATATTTTGAGCCTTAATTAAAATTGATTTAAAGTATTCCAAATATATATATATATATATATTTTTTTCAAAATTTTTAAAATATCAATTTATTGTTTTGTCAAATTATATAAATTAGATGAAGTCACTATGTTTATTACTATTGTTGTCGTAAAAAAATAAAAAGGTTGGACGTCGTCCAAGTAGGAACAAGAAACACATAAACGATGTTTTCTGACTGTACAAGTCGATTAATATATTAAATAGTTCCCTTTAGCAGCATTTTTGTTACATTCTACTTAAATATAGAAGAATGTGGACAGAAAAGCAAGAAAATTAAATGTTCTTTTGTCCCGAAATTGAAGAATCTATTCGGTTTTTACTGATATTTTCAATGGAGAAAAAAATTGTGATGAATGTGTTTAATATATAAAACTCTTCAGTGTAGAATATTTAAATGTATATATTAATATATATATATATATATATAATTTAAATTTCGTCTTTATTTCCATATGAATTCGCATAAAAATGTTTTCAAGCGCAAAGAGTTATTATTATTAAAAATATTCTTACTCGGAAAATTACATGATAATCAGAAAAGAAGTGTATAAAACGGAAAAAAGAAATTAATACATAAATTTCAAGATATAAATGGAAGTAACGTTGATGTCTATTTTGCATATTGTTATCTTGCAAATGTGTTTAAGAGATGTGGGATAGGATTTCGGGCATCTAAAGAAAATGATGTAGTGTGATGCGATCCACTCCTCTCGTCGATCTGAAGAATAGCATCACTCGCTATGTGACTGCCATCACCTCTGATATGTTATAGTCGCCGTTGAAATCACTATGACTTGCTTGGAACACATCGTGCTTACAAATGGTACGCACCATGCAGAAGTTATGTAATGATAGCCCATTGATAATAGTACTCTTCCCCCTCTTTCATGCTCTGAAGACTGCAACATTTAAAAAAAAAAAAGAAATTTTATGAAATTCATAACTTAAGTTTTTTATTCTTACATTAAAAATTATCTAAACACTGACTTTTGCTTCATTTTTATGATTAAAACAGGAATATTAAACAAATTTCAGCAAGAATAATTTAATTATAAATATTCCACAAGACAAAATAGCATATCGAAAAATGAAAATGAAATTAATGTAAGTAGATTATTTTATAATATAACATAGAAGAAGAATTAACTAATTTAAGAATATCAAAAATATTTTTATTTTATTATTTCGCTATAAAATAATTTTATGAAATATTTATAAGCTCATCTAAAATAGAAAAAAAAATGTCTTTACCAGTTCTTCCATTAAAATAAATTAAGTTTTGAAGAAACCTTCGAGTTTTGCTGTTGATTTTATATATAGATGTATGTATATATATATATATATATATATATATAAC